AATGGGATTGTCACATCAGAAGTGAAAAAACTCAGACCAATTATCGTCCAAACCGTCTAACCTCCATACCGCTGAACCCTTTGTTGACGTTTTAAAACTATGAAGAGAAACGCTCTGGTGATTATGATCAATTGGTGTGTTGGAAATGTCATCGGTCTCTTTGGAACAGGTGGTGCCGCCGGAGTTTGGGTGATGATATTTTAGAAATGGTATGGAGGTTCAACGGTTTGGCGCAATGATTTCAATTTTAATAAGGCCTAATAGCATAAAATGTCTCTATGTTTGACATTTCTTGCGAAAAACGTCCCTACATTTCATTTTTTTTTTTGCATTTTCATCCCTATTTATATGTTTTATTGTGAAAAACGTCGTTTTCACTAATTTGAAATGTATGGACGTTTTACACACTACAGGCCAAACGTAGGAGCATTTTGTGCTATTAGGTCTTTTAATAATCATTTGCACTTTTTAAAACATTTAATAATAAACTTGCAACTTATTCTTTATTTTTCTTTTCTTTTTTTCGTTTTATTTAAATGGAAGGGTATTATGGTCATTTTACATTAAAAATAATGAAAATGACACTTGCTATAATGAAATGTTAAAATAAAGGCAAAAATATCAAAAAAAAGAAAGAAATGTAGGGACGGACGATTTTCGCAATAAATATCAAATATAAGAATGTTTTGTGCTATTAACGTTAATTAAAGTTAGATTAAGTCCCCGTTTGGCCCCAATTTTGTTGTAATGAAAATTGATAGAATAGTGTTTTTTTGAAAAATGAGTAGTTAAAAAAGAATGAAAAGTTTTCTATTTATGTGTAATATTATTTTATGAAATATTATATGGTTGAAAATAGGAGAGAGAAAAATGAAATAAAATTTAATAGGGGCCAAACGGAGGCTAAGTTACTACCATAAATTTTAATACAATAACTTAGCCTATATTATATAAATAAATAAAATGAGAATATTTTACACAACATATTGCAAATATGACAAAATAATTGAGAAAATAAAAAGTTATAAAGATACAACCCTTCTTAAAGTTTGGCTATGACTTATTCAAATATTTCTTCAAATCCTTATCCAAAACACCAAGAAAATGGAAGGAAAAATAAAAGAAAGAGTAAAGAAAAAAAAGAAAAGAAAATGAAAATGAAAAAGAGGGAGCGGAAGCCGGCTCTGGAAGAAGAAGAATCAAGACCCAGCTTTGGTTTTTTATATTAAAACCTAGAAAATTTGCAATTAAGTCCCTGGGCATTTGAAAATCATTTAAAATAGTCTCCGGTAATGAAGACGTGGCGCCGCGGCGCCGAAAAGGGGAGCTATGACGCCCTAATTCCGTAACAAACTGTAGAGTGGCGCTGCGGCGTTTCCTCTTTTTGCAGCTTGGTCCCTTAGATAAATGCACGTCAAGTTCCTCAACTTTGATCTTGCACAGTTTGGTCTCTAGATTTTGACTTCTATATCAATTTTGCCCTCTATAAAATTGCGGCCCAAGGTCCTCAAGTTTTGTCACTTGTGCACTTTGGTCCCATTGCACGTTTTGTATGTTTTTGGTCATTTTTCTCTCCATTTTGCTTTGTTCTCTTCCATTGGGTGATTTTTACATACAAAAACAATAATTACATAATTGTGAATATAAATTCGCTTGTTTAATCAATATTTAAGCTTATATAAATATTAAACAAGTGTACAAAAACACTCTTATCAGTAAGTAGTAATAATATTAAATACATATGCAATGGCCTTGGATTTGCATTGAGCTTTAAAAAATAACTCAATTAAAATTGATGTATCTGCTTATGATAGAATGTCATTTCTATGTAATACTTCGTTTTAACACTAAACGTTGCTTACTTTTTCGAAAAACCATGCATGTCTTTTCAGTGTATATACATGTAAAACTTACGATGGTAGAATTCTAACATGCTTATGTTGCTCATACGATGTTTCTTTCATTTTGTAAGAGGTCTTTGAGACATGAATAAATGCTGATTATGTATGCTTTGATACAAATAGTAGAGTATGCTTGGATGAGGGCATGGATGAACTTGCAGAGTATTGTGTAGCTGGAAAGCCAATTGTAGAGTGAACTATTAAGTCTATTGATATTTTGTATACTACAGTTCTATGGAAATTCTTGTTACTAAAAACTTTTATTTACTATTAGTGTGCTGGCTTTGTTAGTTCTTTGGAGGAAGCTTTGGCTACCAGATTATCCCTTTACAACATTTCGCTCTCCCACGTGCAAGATTTCCTTGAGAAGAGGCCTCTGAAGTACAAATCCTTTTTCGGTAACAAATACATATTTTTGGCAATTTTTTTCCTTTGGTAAGTTAACGTCCTACTTTTGTTGACTATTTGGGTTTCAAAGATATGTCTTTGAAGCATTTTGTACTTACGATTTTCTTCCTTCCTTTCCCGTTTCTTTTTGGTATAATCTAATTATTGTTAAATTTCAGGATAATTGTAAATTTCCTTCGTTCCATTTCATTATGTTTTGGTGTTTCAAAATATTGGACTCCACGTGCACAAATTTGCATTAACCAAGCTTCAACCTAGGTCTTTTGTCCAACTTTTCATTTAAAAGATTAAGTTGTTAGTTATGAGACACATTTACTTATTTAAATTTAGTCTTCAACGAAAAAAGTAGTTTCTAATTAGAGTGAGTTCTACCTACGCCAAGCGATTTCTTGAGAGCTATAGCCTTGAATAAAAAGATACAAGAAATTACAGCTCAAGGTAATCTTCTTCACCTTAATGATAATACATTTAAAACTCTTGATTAGTTCAATTTATGCATTGGAATACATAAATAAGGCAAAAGCCTGTTTGAGTATTATTTTTTGATGAAAATGCATTTTTAAATTTTGATGGAAAATGTGTAGTTAAAAAAATAAGGAAAAATTTTGGATTCTTGTTAATATTATTCTATTGAAAAATGGGTTAGAAAAAAATTTAATTTTGAAAATAATGAGAATCAAAACAAGGGCTAAATATATAATTTGTACTTTGTACAATCCTTTCCTTTCCCTTGCATTTTATGCAAAAAATCGATGTTCATTTGCTTCAGACGGTGCTCAATGTTAGGTTGACACATTCTTTGCTGTTATATCTCCTCTTTCAGTGTTTCTTGCCCTTCACAATGTTCGTATTAGGATTAATAATGTGTAAATCTTATTACTTTTATACGTCTTTAATCCTATCTTATTTGTTTCTCCTTCTAAATAGGTAAAATTGCTCACATTCTATGAGATGAAAGGCAAGAATGACCTCGATAGTGTTATATTCATCTGTAAAACAACGAGTCTTTGGGTATTGAAATCCTTTTTCTATTTCTTTACAATTTTCATTATTTGCATATTTTTCCATTGAAAATGATAATAGTATTGTTCTTTTATTAAGGGCGTGTTTGAGCCACATTTTTTCAAAAAAATACATTTTTAAACAGTGATTTGATATTATTTTAATCACACATTCTTCAATAAAATAATATTATACGCAAATTCAAAATTTTTCTTTATTTTTTAACCACGCATTTTTCGTCAATACACTATTCAAAAATTCATTCTAAGAAAAATAATGTAGCTCAAGCAAGGATTATATTTGATGTAACTTTCAATTCTTTTGTGTAAAATCATATAGGAAGATATGACAAGGAAGAAAAGGTTGCTAGAGGTTATGATTTAGCAACATTGAAATACTTGGACTATACTACAACTACCAATTTTTTAATGAGTACTTCAATATTACTGTTTGATCTCTCTGGATTATTTAGAGTCTTCAGATTTGTATGATGCAAAGGACGTCCTTGATTTGATTTAATGATTCCTTAAGTTATCTTAGGTTTTTCTTGTTGCTGTGCATTCAGTTCTCTTGAGGCACTTGAGCAATTGAAAATGATTTCCTTTCGAATATTTTACTGTAGAACAACTGACGATGATTTAAATTCTCATATTTTTATGACTGGCATAGATTTTTGACAGACTATTCTTTACCCGAGGCTTGGTCATGAAACATTATTGCTTCAATTTTGGCCTTGTAAGTTTATTGTTAGTTGACAAAGTCATGGTATACATTCTTTCTCCATTCTCTGTCCCTGAAATTGCAAACAGATGATTCCAATATTGTTTGTTCTATGAAGTGCTCATGGTTTGATTTCTAAATAGCAACATACTGCCATTTCTAATTATAATGCACCATGTTTATGTCGGTAGACCATATCATGTGAAATAAATGATATTTCTCTCACCTTAAAGATAAATGATGAAGGCAATAACTTGATATTTTTAACTATATTATACCCTTTAATTATCGAAGAGTTGATGGTTATAATTATTCAGTTAGAATGTATAAGAAATGATTGTCTCAAGACGTAAACAATATTGGGCATTTACTTCTATCAGAAAACTGGAGGATTGTGAAGCTGTCGAATGATATTGTATGGAGATTTATAGACCAGATGGTTAGAAACATAATAATTCAATTCTTTTGGGTGATCTTCTTGGCTGCTTATTACACTGTTACTTTCTCAGTTTTAGTGGCTATATATCTGAATGGGAAAAAGAAAGTTAATGAATAAAAATGTTTTTCTGTTCTTGAAATTCTTTCCTGCTTGTCATGTTTGCAATTTTGCAATTTTCTTGTTGTTTTAGCTACTTATTTTAAGCTAATTTCAGTATTTGATGTTACTCCTTTTGTAATTTTATGAATTTGTATACATTATCTTATTTATATTCCTTTACGTTTTAGTCATTTTCTTTTTCACATTTGCTAAGGGACGCAAACGAGATGATGGTACCGAGTTTGATATTCATGTGCCGATATGAAGGAGTTAGAACAATTCCATGGTCATTGTTGCCTCTACCATATTTGGTACAACTAGACCCCTGAAAAATGCTAACATATATCAATTAAATACTCTCTTAGGTTTTCAGAAACTCATTTATAGTACATCTGTCTCGTAAATCCATGATACTTACGCACTAACATTACTTTAAGAAAACAGCAACTCGTGCATTGCATTGGCATAAAACTAGTTTCTTTACAATAGTGGTGAAAATTTGAAAATACAAATAATTCAAATTTATACTCTCAATAATAGGAGAAAATACATTAAAAAAAATAAAATTGAATTAATCGCACTAATAATATAATTTCAAACTTTTAAAATAATTACTAACATCAGTGGATTAAGTACGTGATCGCGAGTGCTACAAATAGGAGAACATATGCAATCCCTTGATCAATTGCCGCGCCTGCATCAAATAAATCAATGAATTTTCAGTTAATAATTGGTAAATCCTTGCTCACTTGATGATGATGATGATGACGAATAGAAGAGGAGGAAGAAATTGGAAGAAAGAAATTCAAGTTTTCAAAAAGAAACAAAGAAACTGTAATTAACAATTCAGCAATTTCTTCCGATTTTAACAACTGAAATAGAAAATGAAGATGTTGCGACAAATCTAGAATTTCGAACAGTTTTCATGAGTAAAATCACGTGTTTCACAAAGAGAAATATACATTTCCAATGAATATACTCACCGTCGTTGGAAGGACCAGCCGGTGCCGGCGACGGCGCCATTCCTTGTCCGTTACTGTACCGGATTAACGCCATCAGCATAAATCCGATAATGGAGAAACTCCACGATTTAGCGCTCAACATTGAATTCATCTTCGATCGAGCAATAAATTCGGTAAAAGAAATGAAAATTTTAGAACAAAGATTCAAACAAAAGATATGAGTTTAAAGAGAAAATGAAGGATTGAAGATTGAACAGGAAGTGGGACGCGATGCGGTATATATAGTTGAAGAATCCAAGGGCGGCGCGTGAGAGAGAGAGAGAAATGAAGCCTCCAGGATGGAGCACGTTAGCGTCAAATGCGTAGGAAAGCACGTTTTTTTTTTTTTAAGAAAACAAAAAAGAGTCAAAACGGAGAAATTAATTTTGACTCGGCCGGCTTTGGAGAACCTATGATGCACTGAAGAGTCGCCTACGAGCGGAATTTCTTACCCTTTCTAGAAGGGAAAATAGCAGTGTAGATCCTCAAACTTTTGAACACATTGCTCGTTAGTCCCTATTTTTCAAAAGAATTTAATGTAGTAATTTTTTATTGTCTCATGCATCAACTTTAACTCATTTTTTCACTTATGTCACTAACTTTTTTTAATCCTATTTTGATACCCAACCTTCTATCAATTAGCATATTTTATCCCCAATAACGATAAAAAAAAATTTAAGAGAAATTTAAAAAATTATTTGTCTCTCGTATTTGTTGGAAAAGATGACTGATTTGTGTGTAGATATTTATCAATTAATATAAACATAATTTAATAATAACCTTAATGTAAGAAGATAAGAGTTAGAAATGCAAGTTTTAGGGAGTCACGTTAAAGATGCAAAGTCGAGTTGCATTCTATTCGTACGGGTACTTTCGACACTATATGACTCTAAGATAAAACTCATGTAACTCACAGTCAGTTCTCTATCTATAAACACGACCATAAAAAAATAAAGAGTGAGCATTTATCAAATTACCAAAATATAGGAAAATATTATAAAATATAGATATAATTATTTGTTTCAAGTTATGTATTCTCACGTTGTCTATCTCAATGAAAATCACTTCTTTTATAGGGATACATTTAACCCCTCACTTATTTAAAATATATGTTACACTAAAATATTATTAATTTAATTTGTATTGAATTGAAATTAAAATAGAAACAACAAATTAAAAGGTATTAATTTGAAATTTGAAATATTTATTTTCCAACAGCATTTTTAAATAAACAAAAATTTGATAAAATATTTTTAATGTGCTAAAAAAATATTTGGATAGAAACTATCATAGACAAGATTTGCTATTTTGAAGGTTAAGGATAAGTATACTAGTTTTACACTTATCTTCTATTAATCACAAAATTACATATATTTATTTTGTTTACTTAAAGAGGTATTGTATTTTTAATAAAGTTTTAGCTTTTTAATTTGATACAAGAGGTTAAATTGTTCAATAGGGGACTTAAGTTCTATAAAAATGAAAGATTGGGAACGTGTACACTACGTTTTAAGATTTGGGCCAAGATACAACAGAAGTCGAAGATTGGGGACCTATGATGCTATTTTCCTTTCTAGCAATCTAACAATTCAAACTAGAATGGGGATATAGTTGGCAAGTCAAACATCACATCCCGTTGCCACTTGTTACCAATCTAGTCACGTTTGGCAAAGACCAGAAGTGGGTAAAAAGCTAATTTTTAAAGGTGTATTTTACTTGGCTGACATAAGAAAATTATATATATTTTTCCAAAAATATATATTGTTTTGTCTTTCTCGTCTAACCTTTGGCATAACATTTTATAAATGATATTATTATTATTATTATTATTATTATTATTATTATTATTATTATTATTATTATTATTCATCTTTCTCATCAAACAACTCCACGTAACATTTTGTGTGTTTCGTGGGCTGCGTGCATCAGATTCCAAGAAAGAAGACAGTAGTGATGAGGTAAAATATCCATTAACAAATAGTGAAAATGGAATTATCTCATTTGGGTTTCTTCGAATTGACGGTACATAAAAAAAAAAAAAAAAATTGCTTTTCTAAATCCATCTTGTAGGTGCCAATAACCATAGCTCTCGTTTGGCCCCCATTTTGTGAAAAAACGAAAGGGTGAAATAGTGTTTTTTTAAAAAATCAGTGGTTGAAAAGTTTTCAATTTACGTGTTTATTTTATAGAAATTTTTATGGCTAAAAATAGGAGAGAGAGAAATGAAAATGTAATGGAATGAAAATTAATGGGGGCCAAACGAGAGCTAGCAAGTTGTTTATGGTACGTTAATTAAGAAAAATTAAATAAAAGTAACTAAATGCTATAAGCAATATTATGTAGTTGTTTAAAATTGTATGTCAAACAATACCTTAAAACATGGAGAAGCCCCGTTAAAGATAAACCACACTCATTGGGTGTCTAAGGAGATATTGGTGGTTCAACAAAACTGTGAGGGCTCAAAATGAAAATTATTTTGTAAGGTTATAACACTATGTATAGCTCCCAACCTTGTAGATGAATCTTTTGTATCCAACAAATAGGAGAAAAATTTTGGTGAGACGATCGCACCATCCTACGTGGTGTGACCGCCAAATGGAGAGCCACTACCTCATTGGGTGTCGAATCCCGAATTTTTAACTTAAATTCGGATATATTTTTATTTGCCATTTAATAATAGGAATGCAATGTTTGGTTAAGTTCTTATGCAAGTTAATTGATTATCTCTATAGTTATCTTATTAGTTAAGGGACCAAATTGAAAAAAAAAAAATATCAAATTATTTTATACTTTATTAGATGGGCCAAATAGTTAACTATTGAAGGAGTTAGAATTACTCTACCAATATTGGGTTCATTTTGAAGCTCATAATAAATGGCGAATTATAGACTCAAGAAAAATTTAATTTGGTCAAGTTAAACCCGAGTTTTAACCGTCTAAAGAATATTATGGTTATAAGAGTTTTAAAAGATTAGATTTTTCGTCAGTTGACTGCCACCACTAGTTTAGCTAAATAAATTAGAATTTTAAGTTTTGGTTAAACAAAATCTTTATGTTAAGTATTAATAATTATACATTTTTTAATTAAGAGGTAATCAATTAAAACGTAATTCCTGCTTACAAATTTAGTTAAATGCAAATCAAAGGAATTTGAATTATTTGATGTTAGACTTTAGTACATGAGTAATCCATGCATTTCATTACAACTTTCACGTGTCCATATAATTAGGAATCATTGTGTCCCCTAATTGGAACAAATTTTGGGAAGATTGGACTGAAATTCTAATTTAATTAATAAGCATACATTTTATAATTTTCGGCCATTAGAAGATTGACAATTTAAGATGTTTGTATTAGAGTAAATTATGCAAATAGGAGGCAGATTTGTTTTCCCCGCCCACGTGTAAAAGTCATGCAGTGTAATACCTATCATTTCCTTGTTGTAATTGTCATTGATATAGAAATTGAAAGAAAATCAATAATTAATTTCCAGTCATACTATATCAATCGGGAATTATGAATCAATTTCTCAGAAGATTGCATGAAATACGAATTTAAATATGACTGAAATTCCACTTCCCCCACGTGATTACCCGACTTCTATAGTATAAATAGAACACTAAAACCACATTTTACTACACGTCCATTACCTCTCCCTCTTTAAAATATTCCTCTATATTATTTAGATTTTTTAAGGCTTTGAAATTGGAGTCACATTTGTGCAATTTTATTCTCCACTTTCATCTTCAAAAGGTGAGATACTCAGTGCTATTAGTGATTTTTCCACATCTTTTCAAATACGTTATTATGAATTTAATTACTTCAATTTAGGCTCCTTCGGGAGAAATCATACATTTTAAGGCACAATTTAGCCTTCACGTTATTTTCAAGGCACAATTTAGCCTTTACGTTATTTTGCGGCGCTTGCTAGAATTATCATTTGTCATGGTGTGATAATTCTCATGTTATGTTGGTAAGATAATTTATTTGTAATTTCATGTTTGACTTGAATGTGGAGTAGCAAGTATCTCATTGAATATAATTCGTTATACTCATCCCCTTATTTACAATTTTCAGGTAATAATTAGTATGTTGGATGGCGGTGGATGAATTTGCTATTGGACTAACGGATCCTCGTCATGAAGTATTTTAATTTTCAAAAATACTAGAACTAATAATGGGTTATTCATTTTTGACCCAATTGTGAGTGCATTATAAATTTTCAATTAGTTTTAACTGTTCTAATAATTTTTGGATGAATGATATGTTTTCAAACGTTCCGCATATTTAAATTTATCTTTTGATTAAATGTTATTCAATCTTTTACAGAATTTCTCGTTATATTAAAACTGTTTATTTCAAGGTATATTCATGTTTCGTAACGTTTCGGGTTATTAGAATTCGGGGCGTTACATTGGGTGGTAGTGCAATCGTCCCACCAAAGTTTTTTTCAACAAATAGATACTTCAAATCCTTTAATGCAACACGTGGACACCCAAATGGTGATATTGGTTCAGGTTCAACACAGAATTGCATAATCCACGATTGGTTACAATTTCACAACCCATATGAAATACAATCAAACATGTATATAATTCTCTCATTCATTTTCAATCAGTTAAAGCAAACCACAAGATGAGCACTACAAATGTGCAATTTTAATGTATACTTAGGTTTTGAACTTCCAAGGGGTTGGAATATCCAGCCCATCTTAAGACCTGATGTACATGTATCAGGAATTTCAATAGCAGTATTTTGCCAGCAGATCAATAAAAGGAATCATCTCTGTTGATATTTGACAACTGCATGATCCATCAAAACTAGTTCTTGTAATTTCAATGCCCTTTAAGGGCACCAAACCTAGCAGCCAAATCATCGTAATCAGGCAATTTCGGATGCACATGTCGTGCCTGGTTATCGGGCTGGAAAGTATTGGCACGAGTAAACACTTTCTTCACCTGTGGTGAACCACTTTCTGTGTTAGGAAGAGAGATTGATCTGGCAGGATGTGGAATTATTTCTGACTCAACATCGTGCCCATCTCTCCTCTGGTCCAGTGATAATTCACCAGCATCAATGGCTCTTTGAATGGCTCTCTGATGTGAAGAATGAGCTAGTAACTTTTTCTTCACTTTACCGGCATCATAATCTGATGGTTTCTTGCTGTAATGGATTAGTAGTTTATCTATCACCCGTTCTTCTTCATCATTTTGATGGTGCTCATTATCAAACAATATCTGCAACCCCTTTTTTGAATGGTCCCTTCTCCTGCTACTTGAACTCCTCTTTGCACTACTGAAATCATCAACATTACCTACACTGTCACGATTGGATGATAATTTTTGGTGTTTCCTCCGAGTTGATCTTTGTTTTGGCAAGGGAATTGCATTATCCTGATACTCAACCTCATTTTTGTAGCCATAACTGTCCATTTTGACGAGCTCAAGACTTTTTCCTTCATCTTCATGATCATGATGAACTGGTTCCTTGTGACTCTTGCCCAAGCCGTTGACTTGTTTACTTCTATTGTGAGGAGAATATCCAATGAAATGTCCATCGAAGTCAGAACCACCATATTTAGACCCTCTGCAAGCTCTATGTTTATCATCTTTTGGTTTAGTATATGGAGGGAGAGGGAGAATGGAATTATCTTTTGATTTAATATATGGTGGAGGGGGAAGATTGCTGTAGCAGGATTTCAACCGATCTGTTTCTTCCGCTGGTGCTTTTCCTGTCGAGTTCAAAATATTCTTTCTATTAAAATGGTCAGGGGAAGAAATAAGATCTTCACTTTTTCCTGGAAATCCCGTGCACCTAGTGGAAAGATCAGGTTTTTCACAAGATAATGCTTCTATGGTTTCTCCTTTCTGCGTATGGACACCATTATTGAGCCTAACGTGACCACCTACAATATTATCTCCCGTATGTCGATGGGATGGACTGCATTTGGTTACTCCCTTCAGCGAAATATCAACGTTCCCTACGAGATTCAAATGCTTGTCCTCTATTAATCCTTGCCTTCCATGAATTAAAACGCTGTGACCTCCACTTGAAGTGCTATATTCTCCCTTCACAAGTGACTTCTGTTTGTGATAACTAGTTTTTTCCCACCCTCCAGCATGATTTAACTCATATCTTTTCACGGCATTACCCTCTTGTCGGTTGTGTATCTGCTTTCCATCATCAAGAAGCCGAGGCCTCTGTTTGGGTATATTCCTCTCTGAAATTGTCGCCTGGAAATTAAATAAATTGCAAGAAGGATAAACAAAGATGATTACTCGGTAGTGAGCAGCGAAATTAGTAGAAGTCAACAAAAACATGGAACAGATACAGAAAGATCAACCTGGTGATCTACTGACTTATCTCCTTATCTACCTTGGTCTAGTCAGGAAAGATGTTAAAATGTAAGTATATGATTTTAAACAAGTTTCATGTAAATATTAATGGTTTTCTTTCACTTATTACAAATTAAAGGATCCTGCATTATATTTAACTGGCCTATGGAAAGAAACCATTCCCAAGGATCATCTCATACTCTTAAATAAGTAATTTGTTTACATGGTGAGAAACTGAAGAAAATTCATTTAGGGTGTGTTTGATAGGGGCCAATTCCATGGAAAATGGAATTCAAATTCCATTTTTCACCCAAATTGTAGTGTTTGATAGCACACTCTTTCCATGGAATTTCATTTTCTTGATTGTCTTGGAAATTGTTCTTTTCTTGGTTTCCCTTGAAAACCAATTCCTACCAATATCTGGTGGAAATTGGTTTTTCAACCTACTTTTACGGATGAAAACAAATTTTAAGAATTATTGTAAAAAAATATTTCTTTTTAATTGACAATTTCTATGTAAAACAGAGTCAAATAAACACCAAAAGATAGAGGATTTTCTTGAATTTTTTTAATTTTTTTTTTGGCAATGGAAACAAATTTCATTTTCAATACCAGTAAAATCTATCCCTTTAATTGACAATTTTCATGTAAAACAAAGCCAAACGAACACCAAAAATCACTTTTATTTCAACATTTTTCACGTGAAAAATTATACCAATCAAACACAATAAATTGACAATTCTCGGGAAAACAATTTCTAAGTAATTCAATTCCCTGGAATTTGTTTTCTTTACACCCAAATTTTATCTTTGTAATCAAACGGACCCTTAAATAAAAATTTTTAGAACATTCTTTCTATTCAACTTCCACTTCTAAAATTTCTAAAAATCTTCATAACATGAGATCTATCTTTCTGTTATATTGTATATTCTGAGGTAAGATTTAAATCTTTGTAGGCAGCTGACTGGTTTCGAAAAATCTACTCCAAGCATGGAAAAATGTTCCACAGCATAAACTGATGACTTAAAGTCATATTATATTATGTTCACTTTCACTTTCCTTCTTATCTGAAAGAATAACAATTTGATTCAAAGACACACCTGTGCAAGTGCAGGAGCAGGAGCAGCCATTCTCTTTTCAAACTCCATACAGCTCCACATTATTGAAAACTCTGAAGCTATATCTTGCAAGACCTGGAGTCTCTTCTCTGTTGTGGGAGACGTTGATGAGAATTTCTCAATAAACTGAACCAAAGTCAAGCAATATGGATATTAAAACAAAGTTATAATGACAGTTACATCTTTTATGCATAGTTTATGGGAGCATTACCTTCTGATTAACAAAACACTCTAAAGAATTTCCATATCTCTCCAGAAATGTATCCCTGAGATCTCGAAGTTCAGGAAGATCAGAGAACCTTGCGGCTGCAAATATCAGAGATGACACAGCCTCCCTACAGTCTTCCGGACACTCCCTGGAAAGAAACCAATCATGCAGACCAAATGTCACTATTATATGCTGATGATATGATCTGATGTTCCAAAGAAACTGGGGGTCATTCGTGATGTAATTCAAAATGGAACCTTACAACTTGAAAATGGAGCTTTCCCCCCTGCAAAGAATGTGCAATTCATATTCTCTCTCTTTCTTCTTTAACTACATTACTACATTTTACTTATATTATGCTTCATTCTGTTTGATAGTAAGGGAAAGGGTAGTATTTACAAGTTTTGCACTTGGATGGATAAATGTTCTTAATGGAGTACAATTGTTCTCCTTCATTCCCTTATTATCAATTATTTCCTCCCTTCCCCTCAAACCAAATGGATTGTAAACTCTTCAATGCGCACCTCCCACATATATTCTAATTTAATTTTGGCAATTAAACACATATGTCCTGGTACGAAACATCCAGTCCGTGCTTCTCTAGCAAGCATCATGAGCACTATGGTGCTCACGGCAATAATAGCCAGTACCAAGCAGTCAACCCCATTAAAGGAATTCCTTGTTCTCTTATCAATCTAATATTGTCATTTTACTATCTGATTTAATTCGTTCTCAATAGCCTTGAAATGATCATCTTAGGGTGATCCTTTTGTCTTCACACTTCAACAAATAATTTGCAGTATTTTTCCTTAAATTATGATGTCTTGTATAAATATTTCAAGCACAGATTGCCTCATTTGCTGTTAATATCATTTCTTTCGGGTCTTCATTCCACATGGATTGTTTACTTATCCTTTAATTTTCATCACTGTGCAACATTATTACTCCAATAATACTTGAATACAGCGATACACGTGATTCAATCTTAAACACGCTACTCTTTATTGAGAATGTATTGAAAATTCTTCAGCACCGATGCTGTACTGCAACTGATAATCCACGACACTAACAGGTGCACTTTGTACAACTATTGAAACAAATTAATCTTCTGCATATTAAATTTCCCTGAAGAATGAGTCCCCAAGTCCAAAGTATAATTCTCACATTCCGTGCAAGTTTTAGCGCCCGTTTGGCCCCCATTATTCCACATTATAATGAGAGGAATAGTAAATTTTTGGAGAATGTGTGGTTAAAAAAAAAAGGCAAAGTTTTTGGGTTTAGGTGTAATATTATTTTATTGGAGAATGCCTGATTGATAAGAAGAAAGAAAAAAATGAATTATAATTTAATGGGAAATAATGAGGGCAAAACGGGGGCTTAACAAGAACAGGAGCATTATTATGGTTATTACGGTGCATATCATAGTCTTCATATTTTCATTATATGGCTCATATTTGAAATCGTAATAGGTCAGAATTTCCTAGCTTTTGATGGATAGTATAGGCACAATCAACAAGATGCATCAACACAACAAAAGTGTCTACAAACCAAATTGTATCAAGCATTTATTTTTTAACTAATTATACCGTTCTATAAGTTTTCCGATATCTCCTTTTTCTGTAGTTTTCGGAAGGTGTATAAAGTTCAATATGACAAAGGATCCCAGAATTAAGTTCTATATTGAACAAGCAAACAGTGCAAGTCATTTGTCTTCTCTTATCCATTAGAGGGTCACATTAACTGAGTTCACTAAATGAAAAGTACTTAATTAATATGATGGTATTCTCTGTTATCATCTGATAAAGCAGGAGAACTTATTTTGCAGTGGAGAAACCATTTTCTTATCAGTTAACACGTCTCAGATTTAATCATTTCTACACATTTTTGTTATTTTAGATAACTAGAAGTATAAGCTGAACAGCTAAATGTTAAATTAAACAAATAGGATGATACAGGCGCACCACGGAAGATTTATATTTTTATCTGCAACCATTAGAGCATATATTCCACTGATGAATGAGCCCCAGGTCCAAAGTACAAATTTAACACTTCATTGGAAGTTTCAGCAAAAACCAAAACATTAAACCGATCGAGGAGCATATAGAGTTCACACATGTTCAGTATACTCATATGCTTAATATTTTAATTGAAGGAGTTCAGCGCACAGTTTTAGCAAAATCAACAAGATGTATCAGCGTAACCACTATCTATACCACTGAAATTGTTTCCCCAGCTTCTGTTGCACGAATTATGACAACCTTCAATAACAAGTTTCTCATGTTTCTCTCTTTATATAGTTTTCCTTAGGTACATAAAGTTCTATATGGAAGAGGTTTCCAGTTATGAGTACAATAAATAAGCAAAAGATAGCATACAATTAGGTTAGGTTAACCAACTTTACAGAATCAACAATGCATAAAAAATAATATAACTTTATTCTCTGTTGTGAATTTATGAAGAAAATACTGTCATGCAGCACAATGCTGAGTTCTTATAAGTTTGCATCTCAATTTTTGTCATCTTTTACATGCACTTTCATTGTTTCTAATCACTAAGTGTAAAAGATTATTAACATCTAAATGATAAATAAACCAAACGAGGTCATACTGGGGAAAGGTGCACCAAGCCAGTAGAACCCAGATACTTGATTTAGATTATGTGAAATCCTGTCTCTGACTACTTTACAGAGAAAAAAATATCCAGAGACTGATCTTAGATTTTTAAAATCAAATTAGGAATATTTGCAATCTGTGCATTCTGTCCTGCATGAGTACTTTGACTTGGTCACAGTTTATATTTATAGATGCATATGATAACAATGCATAAATAAACCACCAAACATATAAGCAGATGGAGCATGGGAGAAAGCCATACTTGGATGGTGCACTAAAGATATGCTAGTGGATCATCACAATCATCAGAAGTGCAAGAAAATGCATTAGAAGCTTTGAAACTGTAATCTAATCATACCCAGTCTTTTGCATTTTTGAAAGCTGCTTTACAACATATTCGCACGACTGCTCAATAAAATCATAGCATGACAAGAGGCTAAGTCCAGCGAGAAATTCTTCAGTCTGTTTTGCAGGTAAAACAAAAAACACCAGTGTAAGAATAAATTCCAGTGTGAAACATCTGCCATAGGTTAATTAATGTTTGTGGATGTTATGAATTGATAAGCAAGCAAAGAAGACATTCAAGGGATATGCCAACAAAATGCTCATAGATACAAAAGAGAACTTTTAATGAAGGATTTTCGTTGTTAAATAGGAACCAGATCTGCGTGCAGTACTCGAGCCAATTGAATGAGCATTACAGTCCATATCACAATCTCATTCAAGTAGAATCAGATATCAATAAAAATTCAAAGTTTGTTTATTATATGATGGAGAACTTGAAAAAGAAACAGAAGAAGAGAGCTGAATGGAGATTTTAATGTAAATCAGTAGTCCCTGAAATTGGAAAATTGTACCTTCAAATTTAACTTAATGACAACACTTTGCGCTATGGACATAACTGTTTCGACTTTGAATTCTCACATCATTGGAAATCTTTTTTTCATTGAGTCAGTGAGATAAGGAGAAATGGATGAGCTTCATTTCACAGCAATACACTTTAAAATTTTGAACTATTGAGAATTGGTCAATCAAACACCAAATAATGTATCATTTATTTTTTCCCTTAAAATTCTCAAAAAATCCAGTTCAAGCGTATACTGCAAAGAAGGGTAAAATTAAATTTTCTATAAGCACAACCAAACAGATATAATAATAACAATCAACTCAAGAAGAACCCTCAAATCAAAGCACAAATAATTTCAAAAATATAAAGGAGGAAGAATAAAACCAAAACGGAAACTAGATTTATACCCTTCCATAGGCGTTAATATCTAATCCATTAGAAAGCAATTTCGCCAGATCTTCTTTCAGAAACCTCTGCTTCGCCTCCGCTCTCCGCCGCACCACTTCAATCCTCGTCCGAGTCGCTTTAATTAGCGATTTACTACATTTCAGTTCAAGTATTAAAAAAAAAAAAAGTTAAAAATAAAAATTGAAGCATGTATATAGACAAAGAAAGAGATCAGACCATTTGGAGCTGAATCCACGACCCAACAAACCATCTAGCATTTTGAATCTGCTGCTTTTCTGCAAACCCGGATATTCGATACTGATAAAGTGAAGCAAATTCACTGATGAGCTCAAAGTAGAGAGAGGACCATGTTAAATGGGTCCTCCATTTTTTTATTTTTATACACTTCAAAACTCACTTTGGGTTGAAAATGCTATATGCTGTTTGTATGTATTGGTATACGTATACAGCTCTGTCTGCTGTACAAATTACCAGTGGGCCACTCGCCGCCAAAAGCTTTTCAATTTTATTTATTATTTTTTTTTCCAACTGTGCTGCAGGGTTGAAAAATAAGCTCAAAAACCTATGTGACACGTGTAATCTCATGGTTGGACAATTTGAAAAAATTTAAAAAAAAAACATCCAATCATTTGCTGTCATCTCAACCTGTCTCCTTCTTCCTCTTCTTTCTTTTTTTTTTTTTTTTAACCTTGGCTAATGGTTTTTTTTTTTTTTTTTTCCACCTCCTTGTGACTGTTGGATAATTTCAAATAAAATATAAATAATTTCGAAACTTTTTTTTTTCATAATAATTTTGGAGACTCCATAACGGCTCATTTCTACTAAAATTTGCCTTTTTCCCCCCGTTTTTTTTTTTTCAATGGTAAAGGCCACAGCCCACAAACGACTTAAAAAGCCTGTTTAATTTTGTGTAAAAAAAAATAATAAAAGATATGAATCCCATAAATTATATTGTTAAAAGTGGTGAACTAAATCCTAGAAAATTTTTGCTATTTTTACATAAAAATAGTATATAGGTAATTATCAAAAATTGTGTGGAGAAAAAAGATTGGATGAAAAAGTTGACTGTATTTTAAACTAACAAAGAATAGAGTGTCATGCGGATATTATGTAATCTTTTATGTAAACCTTGAAATATATGTAGTAAGATCCATCCTACGAATAGTTAAAATGGAAAGTGCATATCACAATTGTAACTCTATGGATATATCAAAATCAAACTAAAATATTAAGTCAAAATCAATGATTAATTTTAACCAAGCATTTCATGAAATTTTGTCAAATTTTACTAAAAATTTGATTTTAATCTATACAAAAAATGAGCTTTATAGGACCATGATTTATCAATTTTCAATTAGACAATTTATCAATTTGTATTAAAATCTACTAAAATTTGGTTTTTAGCTAAACCAAGCATGTACTTGATTTTAATTAAATAAGTAAAGTAAAGAATTCAAAAAGATAAAGATAAAGTCTCACTTTTCTCCAAGAACAATGCTATAGCACCAATGGCTAGGCATAAGTAAAAAGTTTGGTAAATTGATCGAGCTGATTGAATCAAACCGACTTGGGTCCATTTAGCAAATCGGCTTGGTTCGATTAATATTTGACCACTGCTATGTTGGATCGGGTTGGTTATGGGTTAAGACTCCAACCCAACTGTTAATCCATCAAACACAACTCGCTTACTCTTTTTTTTTTTTTTTTAATGAAAATTTCAAAGATTGGATAACCTTACATCCCTATAAATATAATGAATCCTTTCTAGGATTTTCAATAGGCTTCACTCAAGTTGTAGAATACAATTTACATAAAATTTTGAACTTTCGAGAACCCCGACAATTTTGAGGCATAGGCTTCACTTATGTTGTAGAATTCAATTAACAGTTTACATCCCCGTAATTTTGGAGACATAAATTCTGAAATTTTGCATTAGGTACATATTAAAGCCCCGTTTGGCCCTCATTATTTTCAATTTTTAATGGATAGAATAATAATTTTTTTTAAGAATGTGTGGTTAAAAAAGAAGAAAATATTTTTGATTTACGTGAAATATTATTTCATGAAATATTGTGTAGTTGAAAATGGAAGAGAAAAAAAAAATTAATTTAGTGGGTGCCAAATTGAATTTGATGAGTATAACTGTACAAGAGAAACCAAACACATTTTTTCTTTGCAAAACATTGACAAAACAACTTGGTTGAGCTCTGTCATTTGGTCATTGTTTAAATTTTATTGATTTCTTTACTGATGAAAAGCACGACAAAAGTTGATACAAATTAAAGATGTACTAAAATTGGGCCCAATCTTAAATGGAACAATTTTTCCATATAAATTCTATTTAAGCCAAAGCCCAAACCAATCGAACCGAATTGATTCAGTTTGGGCTAGGTTGGTTTAAGTACTGAATTCGGTTGGTTTGGGTTGGAATTCAACCAAGCCGACCTAATTGGTTTTGGTTTCAGAGCGGGGTCAAAATCAACCAAACTCGAACTGCACCAATGGTAATGGTGTTCAACACTAGTCTAGATATCGCATATCATAAGTCCTAATAAACGAGTCATAAATCATTATATTTAATTGAACCTATAATTAAATAACACAAGTGTAGTCACTTAGACTGATGTTAAGCACCAATGATAATAAATAACATTACTATTTTTCCAATGTCCTATAATCATTCTATTTAATTGAATCTATAATTTATAATGTAATATTAACCTCTATTATTTGTTTAGACTAAAATTGTTCAGGGTGTACTCAAAGAGGGGAAAAAATTGGTGTGAAGTAGCTACCAAAGTATTCAATACAAGGAGATGATGAATTAAAAATGAAGGAATTTTAATTGCAAAATTGCAGCATAGGAATCTTATTGGATGTTGCGTTCATGAAGAAGAGAAAATGCTTACCTATGAATTCACGCTTAACTAGAGCTTGGATACTTACATATTTGATTAGTTCTTCTCAAGACCTTCTCATGTTTCATTTTGTTATGGTCAACCGAATAGTATATATACTCGTGTCTAGTACTATATATCGAACATTCTTAGAATCTAAACTAGTAACATATGCTAAATGTGATTTTTTTTTTTGCAACCAATGATCAATGTAGATTGTTGGACCTGCTGAATCGATTTCAATTATCGATGAAATTGCTCGTGGATTACATTATCTTCACCAGTATTCCCGATTGAGGATAGTTAATAGACATCTAAAGGATGGCAATATTTTTGTTGGATGTTGATATGAACCCAAAAAAATTAGATTTTGGCATGACAAGAAGTTTTAGAGGAAATGAAACCGAAGCAAACACACGAACAGTTGTTGGAACACATTAAGGATTCCAACATAAGTTACGTGTACACATGTTTGCTAAGTTGGGTTAATATAGTATTGAACAATACTAATAGAGAATTAACGAAGTTAAAGTCTTATCCATTATATTGTTCGAGTACTTAATACTAA